AAAAATCAGTGGTTGCAGGGGTGCTGGGGGCTGGGGGCTGGGGGAGATGAATCGATGGAGCACATAAAGTTTTTCAGGCAGTGAAAATACTTTGGATGATACCATGATGATGGATACATGCCACCATACACTTGTCTGAGCCCATTGTATATAGAAAACCAAGAGAGAACAGTAAGATATGAATTTGGAGTGATGATAGGTGTTAATGCATGCTTATCCTTGGTTTAAACACTACCATTCTAGTGTGATATGTAATGGGGGTATATGGGAAATCCCTGTACCTCTCTTTCAATTTTTTTATAAACCTAAAACTGCTCTTAAAAAGTCTTTCTCAAAAAGTATGTTGTACTGGCCTTCTAACTGGTATGCTACTGAGTTTGCATATTTCTAATCTTGCCTTGTACCATGTCAATTAATAGTTTTAAAACAGTAATTTTTAAAAATCCCAGCATTATGGTAGTATATATAAATTATATATGTGTATATATAATTTGTGTGTATATATATACACATATATATGCACACAAGACACCTAGAAATGTGAATAGTGAATATTCCTATGAATAAATAGTTGAGATCTTAAGAATGTGATAGAAAATCCTCAAAAACCTAAAATGAAGAGCTGATTGCAAACCAGAGTGTTATGCAGTGAGCTGATGTTGCAGGTATTTTGGGGAGCTCAGTAAGCCATACCAATGAATTTGACTTTTTAAGCCTTTGCCAGAGCTAAAAACAAAGCAAAAGGGTCCAGTCAAGACATAGAGTTAGTAAACAGATTTCAAATAAAGATGAGACCCCACTCTCCCTCATAGGGAGTGTCTTCAGTAAAAGGAGAGATGGGAGAAAATCCAATCACCATTAAAGGGAGATAACAGGCAACTTGTCCAGCAAGAGTGGAGGAGGAAGTCTGTCCAAACACCCAATAACCTCAGTGCTGTACTTGATGCAGTTCTGAGATTCAAAGTTAAACTATCTGCCAACCAAGTAATTGACATAACAACTTGTTACCATTTTAAATAGAGTGTTCATGAATAATAGATGAATAAACAAACTAGAAAAAGACTCATAGATAGAGAGAACAGAATGATGGTTGCCAGAGGGGAGAGAGCTTGGGGGGCTGAGTGAAAAAGGGAAAGGGGCTCAGGGGTACAAATTGGTAGTTACAAAACAGTCAGGAGGAGTAAGTAAAGCAGAAGAAATATACTCATTAACTATGTATGGTGCCATCTGGGTCCTGGAAATATCAGGGGGACCACTTTGTAACCTATATGATTGTGTAACCACTATTCTGTACATCTGAAACCAATACAAAATAAATTGAATATAAAATGTAATTGAAAAATAAAATTTAAAAAGAGTTAAATAAAAAGAGTGTTCATGACAGATCTCACCAATTAACATTGGAGCAAAGATCTGAAAGAAGAGAGGAATGAAGCCTTGTGACATCTGGAGAAGAATGTCAAAGGCAGGAGAACTAAGAACACAGTCCCCGGAGTGAGCCAAGGGCCTGCGGAGATTCACACCTTTCAATGAGCGCCCGCTCCCATTTCACAGTGTGCCATCCCACTTCGTGCTGTTGGGTGCATACCGAGTCAGTGGTCCATGGGACAGCAACTCGGGGAGCCAAAGAAAATATGGAAGTTGGTGACACCAGGCCAACAGAAAGAGCAGACCTGGGAGGGACATCAGGCTTCAGGTTCGGGTTGAGTATTGTCAAGAGGATACTGCTCGAGAGGCGATGTCTTCTCAAAGTGAGAGACCCAGGTGAGCACTGATGTGAGCCTCTCTGCCAGGAAGGATGTTCTAGTCAAAGACACGAAACAGAATAAGGTGTTCTGTGTATGTTTCTTAGTTGTGTATTGAACATATAGGGAAATGTGGAAAGAAAATATTTGAGTGGCTGAGACTTTTCCAAAATTAATTAAAGACATAAAGCCATAGGTTGAGGAAGATCAACATGTCTTGAACTGAAAAAATAACAAGAAATGCAAAACTAGATACATAGTTAAAATAGAAGAACACTAAAGACACTCAGAAAAACCTTTATAATTTCAAATGGTCACTCACCTTGCTTCAAAACCAGCAATCAACTTTCATTACTTAATTGAATCTTAAGGTATACAATTTTTCTCAAACTGAATCAATCCTGCCTACTTGATCTTGGGTTGTTTGTTTGGTTGGTTTTTCCATGCCCATTATGTACATCTACTCAGTTTACAGCCTTTTGAATGTCATGTGAATTGTGAACTCGATCTTCTCATTTGTCTTCTTCCCGGGTTCCCAGTTCTCTGCCATGATCACTTCAAGTCTTGCCATTGGTATAAATCACTGGGGGGGGCTCACCTCCACCTCGAGACCCCCCCGGGGACCGCCAGCGCACTCTGTGCTACACACGGTATAATGCCTGGCATTGTTCCTACTTATGAATGTGTATCTATCACCTTGCACAGCTGCTTTTTGCCTCTTAATGGAAACGTGCAATGATGTTGGTTTAAAGCTGTAGTTCCCTAATTCTTGAATCTAAAAGATTCTTAAAATTTGTGGGTAAGATAGCATTCCCAGATCTTCTCTTGGCTGGAAATACATGAAAAGCCATCATTTACTACCTATGTCATTTCATAAAAGAAAGAACATTTTTAATTATTGTTCAAGTATAGCTTTCTGTCTTCTACTCCCATCCCAGCCCACCACCCCACCAGTGCTCCCACCTCCCTCCCATTTCCACCCCTGTTAGTTTTTGTCCATGTGTCCTCCATACTCGTTCCTGTGAATCCCTCCCCTTTTTTTCCCCTGAAATTCCCTCCTCTCTCCCCTCTGGTAACAATAAAATCTATTAAGGACATAGTCTCATATAAATTTAATAAAGTTACCTTAATATAAAGCTCACAGCATTGTTCACCTTCCCCTTCCTTTACTAGAAATAACTAATAAACCCTTCGTCAGTGGTAGCCTCAGGGGCTTCCAGGCCAGCATTTAGAAATCACTGCTCTGCTGTTCCATTGCTTCCCTGACTTCCTGCTGCTAGACTTTTGGCAGAGAAAAAAGAAATTTTCGAATGATCAAGTTAAGCAATCAAACTTGAATTATCTTTATTTCCTCCCATTTTCTTATTTTCATCATGACTCTTAACTCTCTTCCTCACCTCCCATCCCCAGTCGGTCTACTGTGTTTTCCAAATTTTTAACCAAAAGTTTTCCATGTTTCTTTGTAGCAAAAGCAGATTTTATTTGCAGCTCTAGGACATATGGTTAAAGGTGAATGTCACAGCCTGGCTTCTAGCTGTCCTTGATTGTCTGTCATGTTGACCTTTATTTCTTTTTCTCTTTTACTGCAACTCTAAATTTATTTACTCATTTCCAGCACTCTTTTCTCTAGTTTGGCCTGGTTTTTACTTCTGTGCCTTTCTCAGCTGTGCTTAGATTCTTACATAACTTTAATCACTATTTCTATCCGCAGTTCTTCTCATTTCCAAAAATATTTCCCCTGTGCACTTAGAATTTGATAGTTAACTTTTTTATTAGCAAACTGATATAATTAACTATAGGATATCTTTAACATAGTTTTAAGTGAAAGAAAATCAATCGTAAATCTTACCCCCAAAGCTAACCACTGCTAACAGTTTCCTGTATTTCCTGTATTCCCTTAAGGTCCTCTACTGGATGTTGACACCTTCCCCTTTCAGTGAATACAGGAGTATATACACATATATATTATGATTTAGAGACTATTTGGGGGTCCAAGATGAAACTAATCAAAAGAGAGAATATATTTGCTTATAATACCCGCCACTATTGGTCCATTACCATCATTAGAAAATAAGAAAATACATCTAGTTATCCTATTTGAATTTTGAAGATGAAGGAACATATGACTTAAGGTCCTTGACAACCAAAATGACCATTACTGTGATCTCAACAGCTCTTTCTGAGGCTAGCAAAAGGAATACTTGGATTTAACAAACATCCTAGCAATATCCCCACCATAAAAATAATTGTCTACTGTTATGGGCTGTACCAAGATATCATCTATTACTGATTTCAGGGTCTACAGTGTATTTGACAATTTGCCTGCCTTCTTCTTAGAGAATTCTCTTCATCCCAGAGGCTTTCTGTGGGGGTCAGGTAACCACTTACTCATTCCCACTTAACTGGTTCAGAACCACTTAACTCTGCCACACACATATCTTACCAGCCCTGCTTATGGGACCAGTTGTCAGCACCATAAGTCAAAGCTGGCTTTTTCGTTTTTGATTTTTCCCAGAAATTGGACATAGAGAATGATCACCTCAGAGAGGAGGCTGAGTAGTGAAGGAGACTCAAGGTCAAAGGTCTCTGTTCAGGGTTTTAATATTGGACCACACGCAGAGACAAGTGATGGCAAAAGGTCTCGTAGTCTTCAAAAGAGAAATATTTCATTTTTCTACATCTGATGACTTTCTGATACTAAGCCCAGTCTGGTCTGTATGAAGTCCACCTCCTTTTCCCATCTTGAGTTTCTATGCGTTGAACAGCGCTCACCTTTGCTGTTGCAGAGTTACTCCCAGTGTTTTTGTTCCTTGCTGCGCAGGACTAAATGACAACACAGGAAAAGGGGTAAGAGATTCAGTCTGGATTTGAGAAAGATGAATGGAGGTTCAAGAATCTCAAGTAGTAGGCATGGCATGAGAGACCATGGGGAGAGACAAAAAAGAAAAAGAACAGAAAGGAAGAAAACTCCCTACACAGACACACTTTGCCCTGGGCAGTAAGTTCAATAAGGAAATATCCACTTTCCTCCCCAACATGCAGTTTGGTTGAATACAAAGTACAAAACTCTGTCTCCTGTTATGGGCAGCATCGCAAAGCTCAGTCTAGTTCTTTCGGCCTTAGCTGAGCTGTTACACACGGAATCTGGGCCCCCTGCTCGCTAGCTTTTTGCCTTTCTGGTTCTTCTTATTTTCCAAAGGTTGCAGTTGACCACCGACCTCTGTCTTCTGGTCCTTCAAGCAAGAAAAACTGTGGGTTCTTACCTGGCAGGGGAGATACCATAATCTCGAAGGTAGTTTTCCCAGGGTGAGGCTTATCCTTTGCACTGTGGATATGCTGACCCCTGCAATTTCCCCAAACGTGGGAAACTCAACTGCATGATTTGTGGTAGTGGGGGACTGCATTTCCGCTCTCCTCTGAACAAACAAGAAAAAAATTTGTGGATTTTCCATTCGTTTTGCCTAGAGGCACAGACTGGGGTCTGCCCTCAGGCTAAACATTTCAAAAACAGGAAACTCATCAAGTTCCTTTCCCTTCTTCCCAGTGTTATCTCCCCTTTCATTGCTGTCTGCTTTGTTTTCACACTCTTGTGCCCTGAGGTAGCTGTTTTACCTTATCAAGAGTTGAGAGTTTTTGACTTTTGGCTTTCTGAGCAGCACCATGGCAGTCTGCAAGAACAAGCATCTTATGAAAGATGAAAAACGGAGCCAAGAAGAAAGTGGTTGGTCCATAAGAAAGATTGTCAAGATGTGCAAGCACCACTATGTGCTAATAAGACATATGGGAAAAACACTAGTTACAAGAACTCAAGGAACTAAAATCGTATCTTATGGTCTCAAAGGATGTATGTTTGAAATGAGCCTTGTGGATCCACAGAATGATAAAATTACATTTAGAAAATTCAAGGTAGTTACTGCGAAGTGTTCAGAACCAAAGTTGCCAGACTAATTTCCATGGCATGGATCTTATCCGTCACAAATGTGCTCCATGGTCAAAAAATGCCTGATCATGACTGAAGCACATGTTGATGTCAAGACTATGGATGCTTATTTGCTTTGTTTAGCCTGTGTTGATTTTATTAAAAAAGCTCCCCAATGAGATTTAAAAGTCCTCTTCTGCTCAGCATCAACAGGTTGGCCAAGTCTGGAAAAAGATCATGAAAATCTTGACACAAGAAATGCAGACAAATTACTTGAAAGAGAGGTCAATACATTGATTACAAAGAGCATTGGTAAAGGCATAGAAGAGTCTTGCCAATCTCTTTGTTCACTCCATGATGTCTTTGTTAGACAATTAAAATGCTAAAAAAAAAGCCCAGCTTTGAAGTGGGAAAAGTCCTGGAGCTCCACAGTGAAGGCAGTTGTCCAGAAAAGCCACTGGCCATGGGTGCTAAAGTCGAAAAGCTGATGGAAATGAGTCCCCAGCCCAACAGTCTGTCTAAAATTCAGACATTTAATGGTGACAAATAAAAAGTCCTATAGGTGGAAAAAACTTGGTGGTGGTTTTTATTAATTCCAAGAGGGTTGGCCTGATAAGAGCTGCTGGCTCCAGCTGAAGCAGAATGCTCTGCAGCTCTCTTTAGAGTCTCACTGCTCCAGGGTTGAGTCTTTCCCTTTATGTGAACCTCAGCCAGATGCAGTCAGTGCCTCTTCGAATAATCAGTTTCAGAATATATATATATATATATATATATATATATATATATACACACACATATATATACACATATATATACACACACACATATATATATACATACACACAAACAATCACACGTGCCAGAAAGTGGCATTCTATTTCTTTCCTAAACAAAAAGCAACCTGTCTAGCTAAATATGGATCACAACTGGCATTGAATGTCACAGGGAGTAATACTGGAGAGAGAGGCACTGATATAGAACTTTCCATTTGAGTCTAACAAAGCCATACAATTTAAAAGCAATACATTTGAGCTGTAAATATGACAAACAGAAATTAACTGACTACCACATTTTAACACTGTGGCTATGGACACTTCCAAACCCTTTGGCTGTCTAGATAGAGGGCTTTCCAATAAAGAAGGAGGAAAAAAACCAGCAAAATATAAAATCCAAAGTGAAAATTTACTAATCAGGACTCGGGGAAAAAATAAAGAAGCAAAAACTGAATATAAGAAAATAATTTTATAAAGAAATTCTTGGTTCCAAGGGGTGGGCAGAATGTACAGAAACCATGGGAAGATGACACGTATCTCTAGGGTTAGCAACCACTGGGAGCCATTTGTACTTCAAGTTTGAAGGGGCAAGATCAGAGACCAGTTCTTGGAAGATGCGGAGGGTAGCTGTAGAGAGAGACTCCCTCAGAAGAGGCATGCCAAGTCTCAGCAAGCTGGAACCAATGAAGGTGGGAAAAGAAATATTCCAAGAACATTCTCCTCTTGCAGGTGCTCCCACTGGCTGAACCCAACTGGAAGCCAGAGCGGTCTGCAGCTTGTTGCTGCAGTTCACACAAAGCGGTTTCATGGGCACATTGTAATATCACGGAGGGTGATCTAGAGGGGCAACCAGGAAAACACCTCAGTGCAGACTTTATGAAAAAATTTATTGCAGATGAAAGGGGAACCAACTTCATCCTAGGGCAAAAATGAAGTGCACATATCCAAAAAATATTTGCCTTGTGAACTAACAGGGCATGTGAAAATATCTTTGGCATTCCCAGTAGGATATGGAAAGGAAAAATCTATGTGGAACAGAAGCAGAAAGCTTCTGGAGAACAGATTAAGACCTAAGTGGAAGCAAATAAAATATTTTTTAAAAATGATATAGAAGCAAAAGCAGTAACAAGAAAACTGATATGTTAGAAAATCAAATGAGTTTTAGTCAATGCAAGAACTTTAGCTGATATTGAACACTTCAAACACAAAAATTATGTATTAACATTATATTGATCAAATATAACCAATAAAATTCATAGTCAAGGTCATGCTTAAAAGTAAAAATGAGAAGTCCCCGGGGCCCCAAAATAAGAGGAAACTTAAACAGTGAGTGGGAAGCAAACACATTTTCCTCAGAGCATGTGGATTTAGTATAAGTCTAAGTGGTTGGAGCTTTAAGTGGAACTGGGCTTCGACCGAATGAAGAGAACCTGCACAGGTCATCTCATCCATTCCAGCAGGACCACACGGTCTGCCCACTGGCCTCCAGTGGACTCTCATATCCATGGGACACTGGGAAAAGAACTGTAATTTGATGGAGATGAAAAACACAAGCTTGTGGATGTGAGGTCTGAGTGTACACTGTTACCCGATGCACAGAGGGAAGCTCAGAGCAACGACATTTATTTATCTAAAAACTGGAAAGAGACTCTCAGCACTTAGGTCACTCAGCCTCCAACAGGAAAATAACTCTCACTGACAATGAATTCATTTGTACTAATTTCAGCATACACAAAGGAAATAAATTGTCAAAATCAGAGCTGGCAGCTTCAAAACTGGCAAAATTCACAACCTGTCAAAAATTTTAAACAAACTTGGAAGAGATATTGTAAAAACTGTTTTAAAATACTCAGACATAAAAGTAATATAACAAAAATTCAAGAAAAAAAAACAAAATGAGGCATAAAATAATGTATTTCATTGACAGTAAAATCTCCAGTGCATATCTAAGCAGTTATGTTGGATCTTGCTGAAGAGAAAATTGATAAAATGATAGACAAAGATAAAGAAAACACTGAGACTGGAGCACAGTCAGATAAAGGGGTGGGAATGGGAGAGATGAGATAGGAAGAATGAGATATTCCAAGTTGTATTCCTACAGTTCTAGGAGTGATTCCAGAAATGACTGGAAAAAACAATATGTGAAGAGATGATTTTGGAGAGTTTTCCAGATTTGAAGAAAGCATGGATACTCAGATTAAAAACACTTGTCAAATCCTGAGTAAAATAAATTAAAAACAAATTCACATACAGAATAGCATATCATACGGAAACTATACTACATCAAAGATAATGAGAGGCTAATACCAACTCAGAGAATACAGATCACTTCTGAGTAATAATTACCAGATTGTCAGCAGACATCTCCTGAGAAATGGTACATACCAACTCCAAATGGAGTAATATCTCCTAACTGCTGAGGAAAAGGAAGGTTATTTTTATGGCCTAACTTCAACTATCACTTAAAAGGAGAGACAAAATAACTACGTTTTTAGATACATACACCCTGTAAGAGACTTGATACTTACAGAAAGCACAATATCAGAAGAAAGTGCTTTACCAGAATGGAAATCAAATCTATAAGAGAGGAGTTTAGACATAGTATTTTTAAGGTCCTTGTCTTCTCTGGGCAGAAGATATGATGTATCTTAATATTAAATTTTGTTAATACATATGTGCACGTAACAATGTAACATCATCTTTAAAACAGTGCTTCTCAGCCGGAAGTACGTTTCTCTTCTCTGGGGCACGGCAGTGACAGGGGAGGTTTTTGGTTGCTGTAGACCAGAGGAGCGTGTGCTACTGCATCTGATGAGTGGTGATTAGCATGCCCTTCAGGAGTAGCCTACGGGGCACAGGAGGACCCTCACAACAAAGAATGGTCCAGCCCCAAAGATCATTTGTACCACTGTTAAGAAACTGCAATTCAAAAATAAAGGAGAAAGTATAACCTGGAAGCCAGTAGCGGAAAACATGAAATAAGGATGTGAGTCAAGGAAGAAACAAATCCAAAGAAGAACTTACTTCTTTGCATGTGATAAAAAAAATAAGATGATATAAATGTAATAATTACCAATATAAGCAAAATGAGCTTATTAAAAAGGCACATATTCTCAATGAATAAAAAAATAAAATTCAACTCTTTACAAATGCAGGTATACCACTTAATGGCATAAGAAGTTTTGAAAAAGAGAAATGGAAATGATATTAAATAAGGGAAAGCTAATATAACAAATAATATTACCATCAGTGAAAACGGAATTCAAAGTGATGATCATTTTTATGCACAAATATGGACATTACATGATGATATGATTATTGTGAACTCAAAGCATATTATAATATATCTATTATAGCAATATAAACTCAATATGTAAAGAAAGGGTATCAAACAGTTTTCCAAAAAACTCATAAATTCAGCAGGTAAAATAAGTAAAACTGGGAATCATTTGTACAATATGTTTAAAAGGCTTGATCTTATATAAAAAGAGAGGAATAAATGTTAAATTGCCTTCTAGTTCCACTGCCCCAATAGAAATATTGAGTATTTTACAAACATGCCTGACTCTGGCTTAAGTTAAAAAGACCTGTAACTTTCTGCATTGCAGCTGGCAAGATTTTCCTTTTTTTTTTTTTTAAGATTTTATTTATTTATTTATTTTTAGAGAGAGGAGAAAGGGAAGGAGAAGGAAAGGCAAAGAAACATCATTGTGTGGTTGCCTCTTGT